TAATCTAATCTTTACATTTGGATAATGTTGCTAAAACTATTAAAATAAAATTTAGATCCATCAACTGAATAATGGACAATTTAATTAATAAAATTAAAGTTGTTAAATATTTTCAATTATTTTATCTTATTTCACAACATTAGAATAAAATATTTTACGAGCAAAGTCTATTAATTCGTTTACTGATATTTAAATAGTACGAGAAAGTTTCAATAATTTTCTTAAAATAGCACAAATAAAAATATTTTCTAAATATTTTGATAACAAATAAAACTTTCTTACCAAGAAAACTGAGGAAAATTATAGATATTATCTCAAGTAATTAGCATAGACTCGTTACGCATTTATTTTACTCCTCATTTGATAGAATATTATGTAAATGTGTGAGGGATACAACCACTTGAAAAATTCGATTTATCATAACCTTGTTAGTTGTCATCATTGTAAAATAATACTTAAAAATAAAAGAAAAATAAACTTTATCTAAATTTTAATATTTTACAGACATTTTTTAGATAAACATTTGCATACCCATAAATGTATCCAAGACATTTTAAATNAAATCTTGACAAAAACTGATATAAACACTTTTAAAAGAAGAAAGAAAAACAAAAAATAAAGATACTGAACTTATATTGATGTTAGAATGATTTTATACGCGCCAGTAATTAGTCCACGAATACAGTCAATTAATTATATCTATTAATTGATTTCAAAATTATTTATTGAAATAAAGAATTAAAATCAACAAATCTAAGCAGATCATATATTTTTAACCAATTATAACCAATAATTCTCAAATTCCGTCCATTTTAATTTATTCATATAAAATAACTTGTTTTAATAAATTAATTATTATTTATGATTTTAAAAAGAATTAAACTTTAAAATTAATTATTTCCTATTCGCTCATAAACAACTATACAGCATGATTAAATATTAGTATTTATAATCTCGTTTTTAATGTAGACTAAGTAAATATGCTCTTGTTTTGAATATAATTTATGAAATTTATAAAATAAAATATTTAATTATATTTAAAATTTAACATTTATTTTAATGTATAATTTACTTTTTTAATTTAAAAGTTACAGTCAAAATATAAAAAAATAAAAGAAAAAAGTTCAGTTAGCTGATCCAATAACATAACAAAAAGTTATATCCATTACTTATAAATTTTTGTAAAAAAAATAACAAATTTTACTTCAAAAATATATTTTCACTCGATCAGTCAAGTATTGATCTATATTTTAACCGAAGTATATAGAAAAGGGATCTTCCCAGATGCATAGAAGATTCGGAATTTCTATTTGTGTATCGAGTTAGATAGCAGAAATGAGTTTATATTTGACACCATACAAAATTTCAAAATTTATTTATATAAAGTAAGTTTTATAAATTCGAATTTCAGTAATAATTTAAATTTATAATGCTTTGAATCATTCTAACAAATTAGGTAATCTAATCTTTACATTTGGATAATGTTGCTAAAACTATTAAAATAAAATTTAGATCCATCAACTGAATAATGGACAATTTAATTAATAAAATTAAAGTTGTTAAATATTTTCAATTATTTTATCTTATTTCACAACATTAGAATAAAATATTTTACGAGCAAAGTCTATTAATTCGTTTACTGATATTTAAATAGTACGAGAAAGTTTCAATAATTTTCTTAAAATAGCACAAATAAAAATATTTTCTAAATATTTTGATAACAAATAAAACTTTCTTACCAAGAAAACTGAGGAAAATTATAGATATTATCTCAAGTAATTAGCATAGACTCGTTACGCATTTATTTTACTCCTCATTTGATAGAATATTATGTAAATGTGTGAGGGATACAACCACTTGAAAAATTCGATTTATCATAACCTTGTTAGTTGTCATCATTGTAAAATAATACTTAAAAATAAAAGAAAAATAAACTTTATCTAAATTTTAATATTTTACAGACATTTTTTAGATAAACATTTGCATACCCATAAATGTATCCAAGACATTTTAAATTTTCATTTAGTTAATAAATATATGAATATTATAAGCATTTTAGAAAACTAATTTTAATAATAAAAAAGACTCATAATTCATAATTTCCATTACGAATTATTAATACTACTAAAAAGGGTTTAAATATGCGTAGTTAATTATATAATATAGAGTTTTTTTTTTAATTTAATTTGTAATATAACTTAGTAGATACCATTTGTTATAAAGATTCCATCAAATAATTTGAATTACTTTTCTGTGTATATTTTATTTTAACATTTTATTAAAACGTTTAATAGATTCGAAAAATACAAACTTAATATTATGAAAGAATGAATAGTACAAATTAATTTTTTAGTCAGAGTATTTTTAATCATAATAGATAAAAAAATATTCAATTGATGATAGGAAACTCAGACAAAGAATAGGGATTTCTTGCTAAATTAACAAATGAAAAATGATCAATTGTCATATATATTGAAAAAAATTTTTGCAAATTAATGTATGATCAATTTCTTTAGTTAAATTATTAAATTGTTTAATAGTATATTGAAATAAAAACCTCTTATTTCCTCATTTATCGTATAAGTTATTGACATTTAATTAATTACACGTTTATTATTAATTTTAATTAAGCCTTAAAATAACTATAATTTGAGTAGTAAAAATACCACTAGTAGCTGTATTTATATTTATTGAACTAATGAATAATTAAAACCTCGATAATTTTGATAATTTAAGATTAAAATTGTGAATTAATAAAAATATTAAACAAAAATAATAAAAATCATTTTTAAGGCAGAAATGTTTAATAAAACTAAATATTACTTAAAAGTTTTTAACATTCAAGGAAAAGCAATAAAAATTCTTTTATAATGTCCCAATTGAACATAATTTTATTCGGAAAAATGTTAGACTCGTGTCCCAAATATTAATCTTCATTTCCAAGTATTCCAAACCTAACTAGAAGGAATAATTTAAGTTAACTGTAATCCAGTTTTCTTTCCTTTTCGATATTGATTTGGTTTAAAAGAAAGTTTGAGAGCAAAAAATCTTTAATTTTTTTCTGCATCAGTTATTTTCGTATCTTCATAAAAGATGGCCTTGCCAATGCGTATTAGAATGAAGTTATAAAAAAAGGGGGCAATTCTCTTTTTCTCCTTCAAATCCTTCTCGATATATATACAGAAAACAGATATTTCCTCTGTAAGATGCTTCTTCAGTTTAGATAAGGTTCCGCTAGAAACCTCGCGGGAATTTTGAGAGATACACCGATTTCCCATTGGCCAATCTCTGTAGAAACAGGTAGAGTGCCATTTGGTAAGCCGGAGCCACTTTTATTCCTATATCCAATTTATGCCATCCAGGCCTACATTTGCTTACTAATATTAGGATATAATAACTCGCAGTGTATAATGTTCGATATTAAATGTCAATCAGATGAAATAACGACTACATTAATAGATTCAGTCAAAATTAATCTTATTCAATACGTATCTGCAGGTATTACTAATAAAAATTAATTTGAAATATCTTTAACTTTTAATAAAATATAAGACAATTTAATCAATAACCAATTAAATTTTTTTATTAGTTATTTGTCTTCTCTTCATATTTAGTTAATTTAATAATAATTATTCTGGCTTAAGAAAATATAAACTTGCTTCAACAATCAAAGTAGAATATAAAAAATATCTTTAAATTTTTTAATTTATTTTTGTTTTTCATATAAAAATTAGTATGTTAACTAAATGCGATATTTAAAATTAAACTAAATTCATTACATTAACAGCTACTCAACGAAACATATATCCATTTAAAACATAATACATTATATTAAGAATTTTTTAATCATTCTAAAGGTTAGATAGAATTTTATATAATCCTGAACTAAGGTAAGAATATAAACGCTTTCAAGTTAACCTGAGGGTGATTACCTTGTTTAAGTCAAAAAGTATCTTCTCGTATTACAAAATGATAAATGACATGCTATAAGTTTTAAACTACATCTGAGATATTCGAACAAATTAAATTAACTTCTGCTTATTAAGTATACTTAATTACTATTCTACCATTAAAATCAATGCTTAATATATTAAGAGAAAGGACGGTTTTGAAGATATTCCATTTTCATTGAATTAATTGTTCGAAAATATAATACGAAACTATATTGTATACATTAAAATATATTAAATTATTTATTTTGAAGATCAATAGATTCGCTATTTAACAAATAAATAAAATTTGGAGTAAAATAAATAAATTTACAATATACGTTACCATTTTTTAATGTAAAGTTATAATTAAATATTATATTTTTAATTAACTGTAAAAATAAAATAATTCTATTTGTTAATTTTAGAAGAGCTTAAAATAAGTGTAAGGCATTTAATATATATACTGCTTTTATATTTTAATAATATATTTTTTTATAAATAATTGTTACCTTTTAATTCAC